AATATAAACAAGTCTAAATTGAAAACAACGTTCAAACCTATGATTGCGTTGGATAAAAACCGCAATTTTTATACGTGTGCATGCAAAACAAATTTCTTGGTAGAGTGGTCTAAATACAGCACAAACAACATTTTCCAAAAGACCAAAAAAGTGAAAAAGTATAATTTAACAAAAAGCATTTGACTAGCAGATCGAACAACGGATGTTCTTAAACCCTGCTGACTGCCATGGCGATTGCCAAATAAACAGATCACCAGATGTAAAAATGGATCTTAATTTATTAATAATATACCAAACAGAAAACAATAAACTTGCGGAAAAGATGGTATACCGCAAACATAAGGTGCAAAAATTTGTACACCATATCCGGATTTCGACAATAAATGTCTCTTCAGTGATGTTAGGAATCGAAACGGTATTTGGGAGGCCATATAATTTACCTCAATTTGGGATTGACTCTTGAATTTTGAAGAGTCAAAATAGGATGAACGGATCATATAAACCCGAAGGCAAATATAATACAAGCCCAAACAAAAAAATATAAACAAGTCTAAATTGAAAACAACGTTCAAACCTATGATTGCGTTGGATAAAAACCGCAATTTTTATACGTGTGCATGCAAAACAAATTTCTTGGTAGAGTGGTCTAAATACAGCACAAACAACATTTTCCAAAAGACCAAAAAAGTGAAAAAGTATAATTTAACAAAAAGCATTTGACTAGCAGGTCGAACAACGGATGTTCTTAAACCCTGCTGACTGCCATGGCGATTGCCAAATAAACAGATCACCAGATGTAAAAATGGATCTTAATTTATTAATAATATACCAAACAGAAAACAATAAACTTGCGGAAAAGATGGTATACCGCAAACATAAGGTGCAAAAATTTGTACACCATATCCGGATTTCGACAATAAATGTCTCTTCAGTGATGTTAGGAATCGAAACGGTATTTGGGAGGCCATATAATTTACCTCAATTTGGGATTGACTCTTGAATTTTGAAGAGTCAAAATAGGATGAACGGATCATATAAACCCGAAGGCAAATATAATACAAGCCCAAACAAAAAAATATAAACAAGTCTAAATTGAAAACAACGTTCAAACCTATGATTGCGTTGGATAAAAACCGCAATTTTTATACGTGTGCATGCAAAACAAATTTCTTGGTAGAGTGGTCTAAATACAGCACAAACAACATTTTCCAAAAGACCAAAAAAGTGAAAAAGTATAATTTAACAAAAAGCATTTGACTAGCAGGTCGAACAACGGATGTTCTTAAACCCTGCTGACTGCCATGGCGATTGCCAAATAAACAGATCACCAGATGTAAAAATGGATCTTAATTTATTAATAATATACCAAACAGAAAACAATAAACTTGCGGAAAAGATGGTATACCGCAAACATAAGGTGCAAAAATTTGTACACCATATCCGGATTTCGACAATAAATGTCTCTTCAGTGATGTTAGGAATCGAAACGGTATTTGGGAGGCCATATAATTTACCTCAATTTGGGATTGACTCTTGAATTTTGAAGAGTCAAAATAGGATGAACGGATCATATAAACCCGAAGGCAAATATAATACAAGCCCAAACAAAAAAATATAAACAAGTCTAAATTGAAAACAACGTTCAAACCTATGATTGCGTTGGATAAAAACCGCAATTTTTATACGTGTGCATGCAAAACAAATTTCTTGGTAGAGTGGTCTAAATACAGCACAAACAACATTTTCCAAAAGACCAAAAAAGTGAAAAAGTATAATTTAACAAAAAGCATTTGACTAGCAGGTCGAACAACGGATGTTCTTAAACCCTGCTGACTGCCATGGCGATTGCCAAATAAACAGATCACCAGATGTAAAAATGGATCTTAATTTATTAATAATATACCAAACAGAAAACAATAAACTTGCGGAAAAGATGGTATACCGCAAACATAAGGTGCAAAAATTTGTACACCATATCCGGATTTCGACAATAAATGTCTCTTCAGTGATGTTAGGAATCGAAACGGTATTTGGGAGGCCATATAATTTACCTCAATTTGGGATTGACTCTTGAATTTTGAAGAGTCAAAATAGGATGAACGGATCATATAAACCCGAAGGCAAATATAATACAAGCCCAAACAAAAAAATATAAACAAGTCTAAATTGAAAACAACGTTCAAACCTATGATTGCGTTATATATATATATATTCGATCCCTAACATCACTGAAGAGACATTAATTGTCGAAATCCGGATATGGTGTACTAATTTTTCACCTTTTGTTTGCGGTATACCATCTTTTCCGCAAGTTTATTATTTTCTGTTTGGTATTAGATCATTAATTTTTAAAGATCCATTTTGTTACATCTTGTGATCCGTTTATTTGGCAATCGCCAATGGCAGTCAGCAGGGTTTAAGAACATCAGTTGTTCGACCTGTTAGTCGAATGCGTTTTGTTAAAATATACTTTTTCACTTTTTTGGTCTTTTGGAAAATGTTGTTTGTGCTGTATTTAGACCCCTCTACCAAAAAATTTGTTTTGCATGCACACGTATAAAAATTGCGGTTTTTATCCAACGCAATCATAGGTTTGAACGTCGTTTTCAATTTAGACTTGTTTATATTTTTCGTTTGGGCTTGTATTATATTTTCCTTCGGGTTTATATGATCCGTTCATCCTATTTCGACTCTTTAAAATTCAAGAGTCTATCCAAAATTGAGGTAAATTTTATTGCCTTCCAAATACTGTTTCGATCCCTAACATCACTGAAGAGACAATAATTGTCGAAATCCGGATATGGTGTACTAATTTTTCACCTTTTGTTTGCGGTATACCATCTTTTCCGCAAGTTTATTATTTTCTGTTTGGTATTAGATCATTAATTTTTAAAGATCCATTTTGTTACATCTTGTGATCCGTTTATTTGGCAATCGCCAATGGCAGTCAGCAGGGTTTAAGAACATCAGTTGTTCGACCAGTTAGTCGAATGCGTTTTGTTAAAATATACTTTTTCACTTTTTTGGTCTTTTGGAAAATGTTGTTTGTGCTGTATTTAGACCCCTCTACCAAAAAATTTGTTTTGCATGCACACGTATAAAAATTGCGGTTTTTATCCAACGCAATCATAGGTTTGAACGTCGTTTTCAATTTAGACTTTTGTATATATATATATATATATAGTGTCTAAAAATAGCAACAATCAACATTCAATCTATCTAGGCGTGGATCAGTTTGTAAATAAACTGATGCAGTTACTACATTAAATTATATAAGTGCCTAAGAATTTAACTTTAACACACTAATGAGTGTTATAAAATTAGTTGTTATATTTTATATTATTCACGCAATATTTCGCTAAACAAATTAGCTTCATCAGGCGTGTGCATCTCTCAAGGTGAAATCGGATGCATGACAAAAAAATATTTTTGTAGCTTGAACTACACAAAATTTGAGTAAAAGTTTAACAAAATTTATTGATGTTCTATAAAAAATATATGTTTGTAAATTGTCTAGAAAAATATTTTTGCCGCTTATTGTAAGTTTGAACTACACAAAATTTTAGGAAAAGTTGGTTCTTCCGCATTGTTTGTATTACATTTGCAATTGCATTACAAACAATGCGGAAGAACCAATTGTAAGTGCTGTAAAGTCGCCCACACTGACCACTCTTTCATCAGCACAGTAACAAAGCAGCTATACAACATCTATGTTACATCTAATTGCAAAACGGAAAATAATATTTATATTCTTACTAGTTGAACTTGCAAGCTGCAGTATGTTGGTGAAACAGAAACGAAATTCAACATCAGACTTAACAATCACCAGTCTTTTTATACAAAAGGAAGAAACTGTCCAATTACGAGACACCTCTTAAGAACAGGGCATACTTTTGAAAATATCATCTTTCAAATAGTTAAGGTAAACCAAAATTGGGACTCCCAAAGGAGAAAACAGAGAGAAAGGTTCTGGATGCATCAGCTACGTACTCTTGAACCTGATGGACTTAATGAGAGAGATGAAAAACAGTTCTACCCAAAACCAAAGGAATAAATCCTGAACTTCATTCTATTTAACTAAAACAACTATTTGTTTTGATTTAAGAATTGCTATGTACAAAAAGCGGCAAAAATATTTTTCTAGACAATTTACAAACATATTTTTTTTATAGAATATCAATAAATTTTTTTAAACTTTTACTCAAATTTTGTGTAGTTCAAGCTAACAATAAGCGACTAAAATATTTTTCTAGACAATTTACATACATATATTTTTTATAGAACATCAATAAATTTTGTTAAACTTTCACTCAAATTTTGTGTAGTTCAAGCTACAAAAATGTTTTTTTGTCATGCATCCGATTTCACCTTGAGAGATGCACACGCCTGATGAAGCTAATTTGTTTAGCGAAATATTGCGTGAATAATATAAAATATAACAACTAATTTTATAACACTCATTAGTGTGTTAAAGTTACATTCTTAGGCACTTATATATATATATATATATAAGGGATTCAAATATATATATATATGGGACTTCAAACAAAAACAATGAAGTTAAAAAAACCAAAATGGTTAAACGGACTAACCATTAAATTCAGTATAAAAATGACCACGAATTAAGTACCAAAGTAAGAAAATTAATATAAAATATCTGATATCTGAGAAATACGTTGTGACTGCTGTGACAAAGGAAAGTAATTTTTGGATCTTTGGTGTAAATACGTGGAATTTTAAGATACATGTGACAAAGATATGCATAGTTTGTATCATCGGTTAAGCACCTGGTATATTATGTATCTAAGTAATCATGACAAAGTCGGGTACAGCTTACATCTTTAATTTGAAATAATTACTGATTAATGAACGCATAATTGATATCAGTAACAGGCAGCTGATGAGCAAATACATTGTTCATTATTTATGTATGGTAAACGTACCTCACATTTCAAGTAATATGTATAGAAATCAAACCTCACATCTTAAAGGATACATACCTACTACCTGAGGAGCACAGCACCTACAGTCTTCATCAACTCGGCCATCACCGTCGTCATCTACAACAATACATGAAACTTTCAGTTTCTATCGTTTAACTAACTGACAAAATAATCTTGTAAATTACGATAACTCTATTCAGATAAAAAAAAATCTAGCAACTTCCTCAGTGAGCAACTAATTAAATAAAAGTCAAAATGAATACACGTTTTATAATGTCGTAGATTTCATTGATCCCATAAATCCACCTTTTATAATTTCGTAGGATTATGGACATTATTAAACCTTCCTTGCACTCAATTCATATCGTTCCTGTTAGTGTGTAGTGAAACATTTGTTTGATTTCTGTATTTTTGTTTATGTCTTTTAGTTGAAAATTTTTCCATATTATCAATATGAAACAGCTTGGCTTATTTTTAAGAACAACTTCAATTAGTCTTTCATGGTAATAGTAGCTGTATTTCGTTATGATACTTTTCAATAATAACTGTTGAAATATGCGTTATTCAAAGTTAAGTTCAAGATTTTGTTCAAGATAAATTCAAAGGTTCGCGTATGTTTTTAAAAATGTTGCCATAGGTTTAAAGCATCCTTTTCGCTATCAAAAAAGATTAAATGATAGATATTATGAGGTTACGTGAAACATTGTTATTTATATGTAGTTCTGGACAACAAAAACTATCTAAACCTTACACGAACCAGTCGTGAACATTGAAAACATTTACGGTTCTTGAATAGCAAATATTGATCTAGGAAGGCAGCTTTCAGACAAAAATAAAAGAACTTTCAACGGTATATTCAAGCGCTGTATATGATACTGACATTCAAATTGCTTTTCTTCTAAAGTATTTTTTCTCCTTCGTCATAAGAGTAATATCTAATACAAACCTTTGCCATCACATTCCTCTTCGTCTACTTCACCGTCACAGTCGTTATCAATTTCATCGCCATAATCCATCGCTTTAGCTTGACAACCCTAAAATACGTTAATACAAGTTTCAGCAAGACTTTCCGAAATTTGCATGTTTTTTATATATATATATATATATATATATCCATCGCCTTACTGAATCGCTTTAGCTTGACAACCCTACAATACAATTCAAAATACAGTTGATATTGAATATTATTAAGCTACTTCGTGAAACACTACATACACCAGTTCATAAACCTACCTAGTGTAGTAATTATTGATACGTTCCAGTCCTGCATTTGTATGATATAATTATCACTTGACGTTAAGCAAGCGACAATCAATCTGTATATTTTATGTTTTTGATTTTTTCCCTTGTTTGTGAAAAGCTCTGCAGGTATTTCCAGATTTGTTTGATATCTGTTCTTCTCAGATCGGGTCAATTAGTAATTTCAATGTTGGGAACTATCAGACCAATCTGTTAATGTCTGATGGTTTTACTTGTTACTCTAATGGATTGGTGGTAGCTTTCCGACATATTTAATCGTAAGATATTTGGCTTTGGTAATTAATATAGCGGTATCGGTTTGAATTCAAAATTTTTCTATACCTGTTTCCAGTTCATCGTTATTGCATTGACATGGCATCCGGGTGATATTATCCTTGATTTTGTATTTACTGATTTTCTTTAGGGTGTTATCTTTTTTTCTGTACTATTTTAGATTTTCAGGATGAACGATGCAAGTAAGTGTGTGTTGTTCGCATGGTATTTATTATTTTTTTGTGGATCAAAGGATACATTTTTGGTAGTCAGCTAAGCAAATAATCACACTAATCTGTTGTAAACGTCCCCAAGGGTGTACTGATGTTTTATAACCAACCTTTCTTAAATGGCTCATTTATAATTTTATTCCTCAAGCAAAGTTGACCTTAGATGGATTTGGCTATTATCCTTATGCCTTTTTGTCGAACCTGCGACTTTTGTCGCTAAAGCGAGACATAGCGATCCTACATTCCGTCGTCGTCGGCGCCGTCGGCGTCCACAAATATTCACTCTGCGGTTAAAGTTTTTGAAATTTTAATAACTTTCTTAAAATATCCTGGATTTCTACCAAACTTGGACAGAAGCGTGTTTATGATCATAAGATAGTATCCAGAAGTAAATTTTGTAAAACAAAAATCCTGTTTATCCGTATTTTACTTATAAATGGACATAGTTTTTCTGCCAGTTACCATTACATTCACTCTGTAATTAAAGTTTTAAAAATTTTAATAACTTTCTTAAGCTATCCTGGATTTGTACCAAACTTGGACAGAAGCTTGTTTATGATCAAAAGCTAGTATCTAGAAGGAAATTTTGTAAAAATTTATTTCCTGTTTTTCTATATATTACTTATAAATGGACTTAGTTTTTCTTCCAGTTAACATTACATACAGTCTGCAGTTAAAGTTTTTAAAACATTTATTATGCATTAAACCATCCTTGATTTTTACCAAACTTGGACAGAAGCTTCTTACAATCAAAAGATAGTATCTAGAGGAAAATGTAAACATTATCTTCTTTATCATTTGTTTATTCAATAAATTTATGTTTGAACTCTTTTATAAATCTATAGATTTGATTGCATACTGTATTCATTTTTTACAAGCATTTTTTTCATACATTTCAAATTTTTATTTCATTAACTGTAAATCTATTATGTGCATTCCCCTATCACACTGAAGACATAGACAACAGCAAAGGTAGGCGAGACACTGGGTTCCGCGGAACCCTTACGAATGTTTTTGTCATATATATCGTCAACTGTTTTAGTTCTTATACATTCTTTGCTTTAACATATTGGGCTTTGAACGTTACTGATGAAGGTAAATCCAGCAAAGCTCTTTGGACGCATGGAATCTATAAAGTCAAGAACCTCTTACATTCGTGTGACGCACAGTTTATAATTCTATTGTGGTTTAAATGGGAGGTGTCCGTTGTTATTCTTTGGTTTACATGTTGTAATGTATATATATTATTAGCTCAACGGGAACCGATGAGCTTATGCCATCACTTGTCGTCCGTCGTTTATCGTCGTCGTCGTCCGTCGTCTATCGTCGTCGTCGTCTGTCGTCGTAAACTATTTCAAAAATCTTCTCCTCTGAAACAACTTGGCCAAATACCTTCAAACTTCAACTAAATGTTCCTTAGGGTATCTAGTTTATAAATTGTATCAGAAGTTTTGATCCATCGACAAACATGGCCGCCATGGCTAAAAATAGAACATAGGGGTCAAATGCAGTTTTTGGCTTATATCTCAAAAACTAAAGCTTTTAGAGCAAATCTGACATGGGGTAAAATTGTTCAATTGGTCAAGATCTATCAGCTCTGAAATTTTCAGACGAATCGAACAACCCATTGTTGGGTTGCTGCCACCGAATTGGTAGTTTTAACAAAATTTTGCAGTTTTTTGTTATTATTTTGAATATATTATTATAGATATATATAAACTGTAAGCAGCAATAATGTTCAGCAAAGTAAGATCTACAAAAAAGTTAAATGACCATAATTGTAAATTTACCCCTTAAGGCGTTATTGCTCTTTAAAGACAATTTTACACAATTTGTTCTTCAAGTTTGCTAACATTTAAAAATCTTCTCCTCTGAAACTACTGGACCAATTACCTTCAAACTTTAACTTAATATTCCTTAGTGTATCTTGTTTATAAATTTTATCCAAAGTTTGTATCCATCGACAAACATGGCCGCCATGGCTAAAAATAGAACATAAGGGTCAAATGCAGTTTTTGTCTTATATCTCAAAAACTAAATCTTTTAGAGCAAATGTGACAGGGATAAAATTGTTTAATTGGTCAAGATCTATCGGCCCTGAAATTATCAGACGAATTGAACAACCCATTGTTGGGTTGCTGCCACCGAATTGGTAGTTTTAACCAAATTTTGCAGTTTTTTGTTATTATTTTGAATATTATTATAGATATATTACACTGTAAGCAGCAATAATGTTCAGCAAAGTAAGATCTACAAAAAAGTTAATATGACCAAAATTGTCAATTCACCCCTTAATGAGTTATTGCCCTTTAAAGACAATTTTAACACAATTTGTTCATCAAGTTTGCTGACATTTAAAAATCTTCTCCTCTGAAATACAGGTGAGCGATGCAGGCTCTTGAGAGCCTCTTGTTTATTTAAGTATGTCTTTGTCCTGAGTGTTCTTGCGTTTAGTTGTAATGTATTCCTGTGACGTAATGTTGTCATTTTAGCGGTATTTTTAACATTGTCATATAAGCAGGAGGTTTGGCTAGCCATAAAACCAGGTCCAACCTACCATTTTTTTTTAAAAGTCCTGTACCAAGTCAGGAATATGGCAGTTGTTATCAAATAGTCCGTTTCTATGTATGTTGGCGTTAGTTATTGTAGCAGTTCAGTGTTCCGTTGTTTTCCTCTTGTAGTTGATGTGTTTCCCTCGGTTTTGGTCTGTGACCCGGATTTGTTTCAGTTAAATCGATTCATGACTATTAAACAGCGGTATACTACTGTTGCCTTTCTTTGTTAGTCTTTTATGTTTTTTTTAATTTTATTTCATTTATATGTTTCGAAGTTTACGTCAATTTTCGCTAAACTAGTATACATTATTGTTTGGGGGTCAGCTGTGCGGGATATTCTCGCTGTGTTAAAGACCTATTGGTGGCCTTTGGCTGTTTTTTACTCTTTGGTCGGGTTGTTGTCTATTTGATACATTCCCCGTTTCCATTCTCAATTTCATTTTCATGTTTTACAGCACTGGGTCAGTAACCGAGGGTATCATCAACTCAGTAGTCAGTACTATGGTACGGACATGATTAGTAACAAACCTTTTTTTTTAATTTCCCGTTTATGAATCTATGAATGATTAAGAAACTAAGGATTTAGCTCCTCTAGACAAAGTTGAACTTAGATAGATTTGACTTTTAGTTGAGGTCCTTTTTGGTCATATTCAACTGTGTCGGCTCTTACACATCCGTGGCTTCCGTATATTTGGTTTTAAGCGTTCCTGATAAAGGGAAATCTTGAAAAAGCCAATGTTCATTGACAAGGATTGTAAGTTTTCCTGCCGAAGGTCGACGGTTCTCTCCGTGGCTTCATCCACTTATAAAAACTGACCGCCACGAAATAGCCAAGAGTGTTGAAAGTGGCGTTTAAAACCAATATCAGGCAATCAAAGTTATCGATCTCATGCATTATTTTCAAAACATTTTCACCATTTATACCTTAAAAGATCAGTATGATCATGATCACAATTAACATTTATATAAAAAAGTATATACTAAACATTAGAGCTTTGAAATCATTTAATAAATTTATGCTTTATATCTTCATTGCAGATTATGCTTATTTATGTAATTCACCCTTTCGATATTTAAAAAAACGGAATAAAATCAGATGTCTGCAGTGTTTTTGCTATATGAATAAATTAGAATTTGATTATTTTGAGTTGTAAACTTTTTACAATTATGCAGTAAAACGGGCCTATATAAAACAACCACACTAACAATTAACAGCAATAGGAAAATATTACTTTACAAAACCCTACCCAAAAATGAAACAACGCAGCTCTATAATGTGCCAAGTTATCCACCCACAATTTACACAAATAAGATTTCTAGGAAACCATTTGCTTTTTTAGTATGTTCAATCAGCTGATTTTGGAAAATAGATTCCAATTTAGATATATTTGTAGGATTCGGAAGTGCGATGGGGAGGCTGAAGTGCGATGGTCATACTGATGTGTAATGGTCTGCCGTTTTTGTCTTATAACATGGTTATGGCGTCACAATGATACCATCGCAATGCAGCGTCCAGCTATCGCACTTCAGCGTGACCATCGCGATTCGGAATACCATGGCGGTTCAAAGTTCTACATAATTATCACCGTATTATATTTAGATGATCTAACATCGCTATAATTAATTTGTACTTTTGTCGTAATACTGAAAAAGGATGATAAAGTGTATTTACACCAAGATGCCGTTAAATGACATTGGATACCCTGCATTTCTCATGCTTTTCAATAACATATGATCAAATCACTAAAAAAACGTCCTAAATTATTGAAAACTAACATTCTGCATTGACAATAATATCTTGGTGTAAATTAAATACACCCATTAGGGCTGACGCCCTCTAGGTGTATCTAATACTTACAGATGTTCTTATCTATCTTTGGATAATTTCATTCTGTCAGTCATCCAAAAACAATTGTAATTCGATAAATCTTATCGCGGGAACCAGTGTAAAGGACAATAGCACGCACTGACTTATAATGCGATCAAAATATAAAAATAAGAAGATTTGGTATAATTGCCAATGAGACAACTCTCCACCAGAGAGCAAATTACATAGAAGTTAACAACTATGCGTGACTGTATACGGCCTTCAACATTGAGCAAAACCCATACCGTAGCATTTAATGTTATATTTCGATAAGGTATAATATATACTTACAGAATTAACTGGTGTAAGCAAAAGTCCAACAGGAAATCCGTACGACTCTAATTTTGCCTTGCCAAACAGTATTCCGCCAATGACCGCTGTGTCATTAATATGATTCACAGTATGTGTACCGACAGATATCCTGACATACCCAGCGACTAGGTTACTTCCGGGTATCTGATGGTATGTTGTGTTGCTAGGTAACGGATGATTATCTAGTCTGAGGCCATTTCTCTGATTACCATTTATAATAAACATGAAATAATTTGTATAGTTTCCTTTTGAATATTCGGGAGTAGTAAATGTATAATGGGCAGCATATTGTTCAATTGGTGGAATAGTGATCAATGAAGGATCGGCGTGATCAGGGCCACCCTTCTGCGTCAGAGAAAACTGATACAAGGAAATAGGTTTGTCCGAGACAACATGAGAGTACAAGCCTGAGCTATAATGTTTTTGAACAGATTGTCCGGCTTTAGCAATAGTAAATTTTTCGTTGAATGGAACGCCTTGGTCCATGCCAGTTACAGTAATTACAGTATTGTCTTTACTTGCCACAAACTTAAATATATCGCCTACGTTAAATCTCTCAGGAATAGGGACTGTGGCAAAATTTTTCCCCCAGGAGTCTACCGGAAGTAACATTTCAACAAGATGGTCACGTGATCCACCGGTGTTACCTACTACTGCTTTTTTGTTACCACTTAAAACTCCTACTGGCTTATCGGATATAATATGACTTCCGGTTAAATCTGCCACGGAACTGATCTCCAAGGTACTATATTTATTTAAAGTCAGATTTATCCATTGATTTTGGTGATAGGTGATTCCCTTTAAAGTAACATTCAGACCAGGCGTATTCGGTAACTGTATAGCAACATTTGTATGATGAGCGGTCCCGATGACTGTAAAAAGGGTATAGTAGTAAGAAGGAGAATATGAAATGGTGTAATATTCTTTGCCTAACGCATCAACAGGTAAGGCAAGATAACCATCATCGGAATGTAGTTCTCGGTTAACACCATACACAACAATTTCATGGTCTGATTTGATTAGTATTGCTTTCTTTGCTAATTGCGTATGGTTCAATCGATAACTCAGATCGAGCTGAGTTAGGTGAACTTGGCCCTGCTTCACAGTAAATGTTTCATGAAGTCGTGAAGAGTGGTGAAAACCTGGTGAAGAAATATTAACATGAACAAGTTGTTTACTATCCGTTGTTATAAACAATTCTGGCGGTATATCCTTGTTTGTGATTTTGTTATCCATAAATGCTACCAAAAATTTCGTTCCTCTGTTATCTAAGGCACCTGTTGCAATTGAAAACAATATAAATAAAATCAAGCATACAAAATATTTTTGTAAAATTTGTGCAAGGAATATCAAGGAACATGAAATACCCTCAAATGTTGTGTATAAAAGAAAAGAAAGAATAGGTTTTACATCCATGACACAAATTCAGTACACACATAACAAAACACACAAAAAGTAAAGAAACAACGCTTTTATTGTTGTTCTTCATCTCAAATTCACAGTTTTACCACCGACAAACACTATGTACAGGTCATGAATTTTAACATGGGTAGTGCGATGGTGTCATTAGTTGAGTAGGTACTGTTAAACCCGTCCGAAGCATTTCCGTTTATCCCTATTCTTAGTGATATTTGAGCTGTTCATTCATTAGGTTTTTGTTATGTGTTTTTCGGATAGCTGCACAGTGTTAACATTTAAAGAAATATGATAATAATATTGTATACTTCATACAATCAAGTAGATATCCAGTTTGATTTATTTAATTCTCAATTCTCAAAACAAAAGTCCTCCTTATTTCATATACAACCGTATTTTTTTATTAGGTATGCTTTTATACGTATTTGGCAACAACTTTACTGATATAAAAAAATTATCAGCATATTATTTCAACTATTTCAACTTTGCTGGGGTATATTTTGACCTATGCTATTTGTGTTTTTAAATCGTATACAAATGTTCAATTCAGTGTGTTATATATTCAATACTCCTTCCAACGCAATCTGGGAATTGCAAAAACCTTCGACTGTTTCATTTGTTAATAGAATAAAATATCTAACGCTTTGCTTACATGCCGAAATAAATTTGAATACTTTACTGTTGTGTGTTTATATTAATAAAAATTATTGCTGAGTTCACATTAAAAGTTCCAGGAATAAAAGCACAACGAGGAATATTAATTATTCAATCTTATAAGGGGACACCCATTTGATTTCTCTAGGTGGAGGGACAGGAGGATTTTGACAATGACTAACTTGGCCTGGTAAAACTGAAAATACATGACTTTGCACAAGACAGGATGAAAATGAATATTCTTCAACATGAAATGCAGGATATTTGAGGATACGAATGTGTACAAAAGTGAAAATAAATTTTCGCGCGGCAAATGTAATTTTAATAATCCTTTTCTTGGAATACATTTATATAACAGAAACTAGGACACCAGATAAGACGATAATAGTATTGATAATTAGCTCGTTCTTTATGTTACTTTTAGGAATAACCGCGATGGCCGTTAAAAGTAAAAGCTTTTCTAAAAAGTCCGTCGTCCTCTGCCTATTTTAGTTATACAATTGTTGGTTAAGTAAACACTGTAAAGTATAACCTTTAGTCAAGTAAAGAATTTTTCACAAACTGTTTAAAGAATCCTTGCATATTGCAGTATTTGACACATTCTAAAGGTTATTGATGTGTAAACTGCGACCAATTAACTCACACAACCTGAATAAAAGTCCGACATGGCAACTTAGTACATACTATGTAACGACACGATCAAAATATTATTAATTTTTTGTTTTAGCTTTATGTTTACAAGATTGATGCATGCATTATATTGTAGAGTAATTCTAGGCTTTGAACTAACTCCTTTTACTTTGTTCTCGTCCTTAGTACGTATTTAACGAATACAAATAAGAAAATATTAATAAAACTGATGAATATTTACTATAAAATAAGAAAGAAGGAAAGAAAAAAAAGTGCTTTCTATGTTTTTGTTGCGTTTTATAAACCCAAAGAACTATTGTGAATATGTTTCATATACCGCTTTTTTTTCTTTTTTTTTAATGGAGACTTCTTGTGTTGCAAGGCAATGAAATGAATTAAAGTTTACTGTACCGGTATAGTAATTTCAGAAATGTATATTGTATTATTTTAAGAAAGAAAGAAAAAACAACAGAAAAAAAGGAACTGACGAATCTTACTCCGTTTTTAGAAAAGAAATAAAAACACGCATGTATACTGAATGCCGATTCTTGAACAGCCCAATATCATTTTCACGGTATATTCACGAAATTTAGTACATAACAACCATCCAATAAAATTGATTTTTTTTCTTTATATTATTGAAATAATGTAACGTGTACGTAATAAATTTGTTTTGCCAGTTTTTGACCTAAGCTACATGTATAGCGGACGCCATTTTATGTCGTTACATTTAAACGAAAGTATTTGGAGGGTGTATATGTACCGGACAGAAGGATAACCTATAGCTATCACCAGACTCGCCTGTATTGCAATGATTGCGGAACAGATTTTGCTTAAATTAAAAACTCGCATTTTAAATTTAGATGGCATTATTTGAATGCAGTATTACCCGAAATCGTAATAATTAATCTCGCAATTTTTATTCAATTTTGCAACAACCCCAAAAATAACAAAGGAGTAGGCCCGGTAAGACCCCATTTTGGCCCCACAATATAGCATTTTTACGAATTTGTAATAATGTAAACTTTTTGCTATTCATTGGAAAGTAGAATACTTTTGATACATAAATATAGGCTGTTTTTTGACAATACATTGCACATGCATCATTTACTAACATCATAAATTCATACAAAATTACTGAAATTTTCACAATTTTAGCATTTGAGCTAATTTTAAGACGTTTTTTGTCTAAAATGGAATTGGCCGCATTTGTGTTCAGTCTTAATAATTAAATATATGTTGTATTTGATGATAATACATAACATATATAAAGGTTGAGACTGAACACGAATGCGGCCACTTACATTTTGGACAAAAACCATTTGAAAAGTGACGTTTTATAGCATATTTGATAGATTTTTTATATTTAAGCTTGAATTTGAGCGTCTTTCATGACCAAATCAGTTCAAATCTTTTACATAAACTGATTGAATCTATTGCAGTAGACACTTAAGTGTTTAAAAAATGTCAAAAAATCTTTCATCAGATGTACTTCGAATTTTAGGCCAAAACTAGCCCTTACCGGACCTTCTCCTTTCTGAAGTAACAGTATTTCATAAGTTTGGGCATGATACCGCCTCGGTATAAGATTAGGGGGAATAGAGCTTAAACTAATACATATTTACACTAATTCGGTTGGATTTGTACTGACTAATATTTTTGTTTTAAAGAACATTATGTATTAAAAGATTCGTGCCAATTTGATGAATGAAATATGTTACACCACTGTTACAAATTAAGGGAGAGTTGAATTACTCACACATGTAAACATGTTTAACCCTGTCACATGTCCCAAGTCAGAAGTCTCTATTTATGTGGTAGTTGTTAGTTGCTGTCCGTCATATTAGTTTTTTGTCTATTAATTTGTCATGAAAAAGTCGTTGTTTTTGTATTTTTTGAATTGTTTCATATTTTGTCATGCCAGGGCATTTTCTATCTGACTATACGGAATTGGTTTTGCTCATTGTTGAATGCCGTACGGTGAGCTATATTTTTTTTTAATCCATGCCATTTGGACTCTGGTATATAAATGTATAATTGACAATCAGAACAATCTCCTAATTTGATATACATTTAGTTATTTTATATATTTAGAAAAATTCTAAATTTTGATAAAATGGTTTACAATATATTATCTATAATTCATAATTTCTCGTCCTCTTTTTTGAAAATGTTTTGCTAAAACTGAATCATACAAGATTGACATATGGGAGTGTTGGTTTTATTTCCGTCTTATACATGTGCAAATTATACATTAAACAACTTTACCTCGCGCAATCTGCACTATACATATCCATGTACATATATTTAAGTAGGAGAAAATCATTTTGACAATGCTACTCCTAACACCCACTCTGACAATGACTTCTTATCAATTCCTTAGCCTATTTAAATGTAAGTCATTCAGTTCACGACATACATTGTTGTGTATAATAAATACTGTAAGAGTTCGTTATGACCTAGGAAATAACCACACATGTCATACAAATATTGTCAAACATGCAGTAAAAGGTTTATGATATGAATCATTTCGTATATATATAATTAGGAGAAAGGATTGCAAAAGAAAAGATTTAAGAAAGAAAAATTATGGAATAAATGTATAAATAATCAAATATTTAAAAGAACCCGTTATCGGTTGTCCTTTTAAAAAGTACAATAACAAAAATACCGAACTCCAAGGGAAATTAAAAACGTAAGTCCTATATCAAATGGCAAAATCAAAAGCTCAAACACATCTAACGAATAGAAAACAACTGTCATATTCCTGACAATATTGTTCACGTCTCCTTGAAGTCAGCAATGGACATCTGAGCAATATGGCCGGACATTTGAACGATGAAAAAAGGACGTTTGAGAGCCAAAGTAAAGGACATTAATTTTTGAGCGCCAAAATTTTAGGACATTTGAGCGAAAATAAAAATAAGCATAGGACATTCGAGCGGAAAATAAACATAAAGGATGATGAAGGAGTGCCTTTTCCGTTCGCCAGATATAACCTGTTACCCCTGCTCACCACCGGGAGGTGGACGTACGATTTCGAGCAAGATATAGTTCATAAAAAAAGAAGTTAATAACGGCATTATTTACAAGTCATTCGGCTTGAAATTTATATCCTAGGCTTCTGACATAAAAATCCCTCGTTATTTCCTGCTGACAGTACCACGAATGCATGTCGAGGAGATTATGTTCCTTTTCCGTGTCTGTTCGGCTCTGAGGTGCATCAATATTCAAACTCCGAATTTTGATGCAAGTCACAGATTATGATAAAATTGCTCATTATAATGAACATGAAATGATTCGGGTCCATTGTTTGTACGTTTTGACGTAGATGGAACTGCGGCCCAGAGATAAGGGGGAAACAACGATTCGTCTGTGATGTAAGTTTCAGTCAAGTAATAGGCAAAGTCTATACAAGGCTTGTCGTTAGGTGAAACGGTCATGAAATCATCGACAAATCTTGCTCTGTATTCTTACTTTTTAAAAATATTTTCTTAATTCATATAAAAGTATTACAGGAAATTTCGCTCAAACGTCCAATTTGAAAATCC